AATTAATGATTTGGCTCCCTAAATATTATGGAATGTTGTTCCCTTCATGGGTGTTTGTTTAGAATGAGACAATGATAGTTTGATTTATTTTTTCTCCGTAAGTGATGCAATAAGATTGCATAAAATTCAATCAAAATCTATCTCAAAAACCTTTCAATTTTCTTTATTCTGAGCCTATCAAAGCCTCCAAGCCTTCCATGATTGTTCGTCTCTGAAGAAATTACAACAGCAGCCTTTTACTACAGCAAAATTTGCAATTATTTTACCGGTACTGTGGGAAAAGCACAAGTTTCCCCTTTGGTTTCTATTGCTATGACCGCTGCATTGGGCTGATTTCTGCTGTTTGCATTGCTTCTGTCACTGTTTTGCAGTGCAACTGCTCTGCTCTTGCTGCAATGATATTTACTTTACCGCTGCTTATTTCAGATCACATAAGGAATACAGCTACCGGACTTGCCTGTTCCACCTCTACCGCCCGAACTGCTGCTGTCCAGATTTTACTACAGGGAGAAACCAGGTTCTTATTTGCTTGCTTTCTTTTGGGTATGCAAAAACAGCAAGCCTTCCTGCTGTTCTGCGCAGAAAAAGTAAAAATAAAACAGTTTAGCCACTGTCAACCAAAAAAAATCCAAATCAGGGAGGAAAATTCATCGACATATGACTCAATTGGCTAAATCATGTGGAGAACATAGGTACTTTTTGTGGAGGGTTGTTGGATAGTTGAGTGTCAATGAGAGAGAAAAAGACTTGTGTTGGTTGCTGTTCAAATGAATAGTTATTTGACTATTTTGTGAATTATAATTTTATTGTTCCTTTAATTTTAATGTTCTTGGTAGATTGAGCCGATTTGACCCTACCTTGAGTTTTATTTTTCTAAGCTCATTGTAAGCTTGTTCTCGATAATATCTCGGCCTATTTAACTATTAATGACATAAATTAGGATCAATGAATAGTTTTTTTTTTCATAATGGTAAATTGAATTTATTTTTTTATTTAACTAAAATATCTTTGAGAAGTCGACTTAATTAGCCATGTGTCTTGTGGGGCAATTCCACTTTCAATGTTATACTATCAACGAATTCGGCTCGTGGTTCATTATATTCGATTTTGAGTCGAGCTAGCTTGAAATTGAATCAAGCACGATCTAACAAAAAATCAAAATATGATGGCTCAAATTTAGTTATTTGGATATTGGATATATTTTGGCTCAAATTTAGCTTGAACTGGCTCAAAATTGAAACTAATTGGCTAAAATTGAGTTATTTGGATCCTTTTCTGCTCGAAATCTGCTCAAAATTGGCTCGTGACTCGTTTTATTCAATTTAACTTGGCTATATATAATATATCTAATTTTTATAAATAAACAATCCTAATTCCATCTATTCAACGAACTTTCTCAATCTTTCTAAATAGCTTTGACCTTTGCTCGAACTTGAACTTGGTGCTCGTTATGCTAAGGGTGCGTTTGGGAGAGCTTATTCGTAGCGGCGGTGTTTTGAAAAAGCCACTGGGTGTTTGAATAGCACGTTTTGTAGGCGTTTTTGGAAACACCGTTCAATTTTTACTATTAGACGCGGATTGCTAGCAGGACCACGCGATCCATGTTTCGTTTGAGCGAAAGACAATACACGCCCTCGGTGTCGTCTTCTCCCGCATTCAACAGAGCAAAACCAAGCTCCTCTCTCCAGTCGAACTCACGCAACTCTATTTCCCTCTCCGATCTAACACATCGTAGCACTCCTCGTATCTCCTTCTTCGATCCTGCTCCTTTCTCCATTTCAGAGACCCCAATGAGCTTCCTGAGACTCCGCTGCCCAAATCCATACGAAACCCCCACCATTGACTTCTTCTGCGGTCATGGCGGTTCCGCCGGCCGTAGTAGTGGTTCGTCTCGGTGTTCTCTTCCAGGTTAGAATCTATTTCGTGCCTTTACTTGGCGGATTTGCTTTGATCTGCCATCGATCATACAGTTTTTTCTTGATTCGAGTCTCTTGTCACAACAGGTTTTGACATTTTGTGCTATTGCATTTGATTTTTTCACTTATCGTTTTTTTTTTCATGGGCGCAGTATCTATAAAGTTGTTCTTTCAATTGATTTTTTGCCCCAGGCTACCTTTTATGTTGCGATACGGCCAATATTTGTCCGTATATATGCTGTGAATCTTATGGCAAAATCAAATTTTTTAAAATGATAATGTTGTTGATTGTGTTGTGTGAATCTTATAGAAATGATATTTTTGGTTCTAAATAGTTTATCTAGATTAGGGATAGAATGATTATTTATCCAGAATCAGCTGTTTTTGAAATGCACAAACCAAACAACTAGCTAAATTATCAGGATAAACTGCTGATCAACAGATTATCAGAATAAGCTGCTGATCTGAATAAGTTGGATAAGTTGCAGCTGCCCCAAGCAGACCCTACGTTTCATTCCTTAGTTGTAGGCAAAGTATTGCAAAGAGGAAATTAGTGGGAATGGGAAGTGCTAGTTCTAAGAAAGATGAGGGAAAAACTCATTGGAATTTAGTTCCCAAGTGTTTGTGAATAAAAAATAATTTAAATCTCAGTTGGGCACCATGTATCAAGATGAAACTGATAGAAAGATTAAGAAAATAATCACATAAGCAAGCTTGATGCTTGAACAAGGAAATTACTCAGCTAGAAGGTTATCATTTCTCGTACTCTGATGAAGGATCATAATTTGCGAATATCATCCATGATAAAAATTTATTTATGTTAAAATTATCTTGTATAATGTCTAAAGGCCTTCATTTGACTAGAACTAAAACAGACTACATCGAATGCAATTTTAGTAGTAGTAGCTCTAGTGACAGAAGTGTAACTTTGGGTGATCAAATTATTAAAAGGTGTGAACGATTTAGATATATTGGGTTTGTTGTTCAAAGCGATGATGATATATATGGGGATGTTAATAGTAGAATTCAAGTTGGTTGGTTGGAGGAATGCTTCGGGCCTTTTGTGTGATAGAAAAGTACCGCATAGACTGAAAGGAAAATTATATAAGACGGTGGTGAGACCTGCAATGCTCTATGGTGCTGAATGTCGGTCTTTAAAAGAGAAGCATAATACTAAGTTAAGTGTTGCCGAGATGAGAATGATTAGGTGTTTTAGTGGCTTTACACTTAGAGTCAAAATGCGAAATGAATATCCGTGATGTGGTAGGTGTAGTTCCTGTGACGGACAAAATTAGAGAAAGTCGTCTTAGATGGTTTTGTCACATTAAACGTCATCTATCTAATGATCCGATTAGGAGAGTAAATGTTCTAGATTCGACTTATGTTAAGAAAGGCAGAGGTAAACCTCTGGAGCTAGACCTAAGAAGACTTGGGCATATTGTATAAAACATGATCTTAATTTATTAGAACTAAATGAAAATATGGCACTAAATAGGAGGCAATGGAGAGAAAGAATTCATGTAGCCAACCCCACGTAGTGGGATTAAGGCTTTGTTGTTGTTGTTCTTGTAAAATTATCTTATATTAACTTAAAATATTTTTATTTATTGATAAAACAAATAAATAACTAATAAGTAACAAGATAAATTATTAATACATGGCTAATTTCGTAGACAAAATGTAGCTTTCGAGAATTCTCATTCATTGAAGATGGTTGATACAACCATTCACAATTATTTGCTATGTGATATAAGAGATCCTTGGAGTTTAGGATTTCTAATGAAACCTAACGTGAATGTAGATTTAGATGAATCAAACAAATTACAGATCTTAAATCGGCAACATACAACTTTCAACGAAAGTTAAAAATGGCATCCGGTTCAAATGAAAGTTTCATGATCTTTTACTAGAAATTGATGGCATGAAAGTTAATTATCTTGAATGAACACTAAATAAAAACATCAAGTTTCATGCGGAGAAAGAAAATTAGATTTTAGTGTATTTCTCAACGTTTGATGACACTTTCAATGAATACAAAAATTAAAAGAAAACCTAAAATAACAATAGTAAGAAAGAAGAGAAAAAGGAAGAAAATATTAGTCACAAAAAAAGTCCCACAATGTAAGAGGGTAATATCTTCTCTTGGAATTCTTTAAATCTCAAACTTGATTGAGAATTAAAATGCTTAAAGGACACTTGATCGTGAATTAAAATCTTAAAAGGAGAACATTGTGCATGTATAAAAGTAGATTTTATCAAGCCATTAAAATTTCTTTTGCGTGAATTAGATACACTTGCTTGTATGCCTTACAGAATACAGAATAGGATCAGAGAAAGCTATTGTGGAAGAAGCTAACGAAGGAAAAATTGTTGTTACACTTGGAGATTTTTCCTACTCCCTACGACTCCACTGAACCCTGCTATAGTTTTGAAAGTACATCTAAGCTTTCTACAGCGGTAAGCAACCAACTGCAGGAGCAGAAGCTGGAATAGTAATGTAAATTCGCACAACTTATAGAAACCTAAGTAAGAGCTAAAGTTTAATATCTGAACCTAAATGATAGCTAAATAAACTGCCTGACCAAAACAAATAAAAATGGCATCATACTTGTAAATGTAAACTCTAATTGACACAGCTAACTTGTTACAGTTAAAATACTAAATTCAAATTTAAAATTTCAAAATTTTTGTTGTTACTTAAAATATTGTGTTTTCAACAGCTGCAGACTATTATAAAAGTCAAAATTTGCATGATTAATTTTATCTTCTTGTAATGCCAAAAGCGCTTGGAAATTAGATTTGACATCTCATCTTTCACAGCTCTAGTATCTTTAACTTTGTGTGGTGGTATATTGGACTAATTTAGTAATTTTTCTTGGACTTGATTTCCCGTTGCCTTTTGTTAGGGAAGGACGTAGATAATTATTTTTCATGTTTTGTGCTAACTAAAGCTGATTTACTATGCCGAGCTCATTGGTTTTTTTTTTTTTCCTTTTGTTATATGTATTTATTTTTTCTTGGCGCAACAACTTCTTTTGAACTGCAGTTTACGAAGATGAGACCTATCTTTTGTGGCAATGTTGAATATGATGCTCGTCAGTCTGAGATTGAGCGGCTCTTCAGCAGATATGGAAGGGTTGATAGGGTAGATATGAAATCAGGTTGGTTAGTTCTTTTCTTGCTTATATATATATATCTCAACCATCTTCAATAACTATATATATATCAATGCTTATGTATATGGAAGGGTTGCTGGTCATATGCACATATAGTATAGATAGAATGATGATCTTTCCTTTTGCTTGTCAGATATGTTTTGTTTTATTTCAATTTGAAATAGCAAGGATTCATTTTTCTTTAGTGAATCTGGGTGGCGTAGATGCTTTTGGTTAGCTTTTGGTTGTGCTTTTGGTTGTGTTTATTCGACAACATACGGAAGTTAATTTCAATAATTGCTGGTAGTTTTGACATTCAGTCTTTTAAAGTGAGGGGCCATTCTCAGTGCCATGTCGACTGTGTTGGAATACTATGGCCATTTCTGGATGCCATCATCCCTTGACCGCGGTTTACTTGTGGAGTTCTGATGGGAAATTAGAATTAGGAAAAAAATTTTAAAACTTTTTTATGAAGTTTAAGCTCCTGTACTCAACATTGTCTTTGGCGCAGGAATGTCTTGGAACACCCATGGGCTGTGCATCACCTTTCCTACCTGTGCCTGAGTTTATATTATTGTCTTTTTTCCGGAGACCCAATATGATCCACAATTTGCAATGGCATTCCATTCTTTCGGAAATGTTTTCCCAGACACTATTGCCTCCCATTCTATGACTTTTTCCCAGCCTCCTTATCATCCAATCATGTTTTCCATATTGATGTGGCGACTGGTTGGAGAATGGATGGAGAAGGCCTCCTCCGTTCTATGGCCTACAGTTATTCTTCCATGAGATCCTTTAGTACATTAAAGATGTCTCTTCCTGATTAATCTGGAAACTAGCTTTAGCTTTTCCTCCATGGGCAGGCTTTGTAAGGGACTGATCTAACTCAATTTTCATAGGTGAATTATGTCTGGAATTTGTGTTTTATCTTACAATGTTTTCTTTATACTTTGGTCACAGGGTTTGCTTTCATTTACATGGAAGATGAGCGTGATGCTGAGGATGCAATCCGTGGACTCGATAGGAGAGAGTTTGGAAAACAAGGACGTCGGCTTCGTGTTGAGTGGACGAAGGTAGGAACACATCCATGTTCTTGTAATGGCTGTATTTGTTTTAAGCTAATCAGTAAAATATATATTGGTTATTTATTTATTATTTATTTTTGTTTTTATTTTTATTGTAGCAAGAACGCGGTGGTCGGCGGTCTGTTACTTCGAGAAGATTGTCAGCTAATTCAAGGCCTTCAAAGACGTTATTTGTTATAAATTTTGACCCAATAAATACTAGGACGAGGGACTTGGAGAGGCATTTTGAGCCGTATGGTAAGCTCGTGAATGTTAGAATCAGAAGAAATTTTGCCTTCATCCAGTTTGAGTTACTGGAGGATGCTACCAAAGCTTTGGAAGCTACTAACTTGAGGTTTCTATCATCTCTTTGCTTTTCCTAACTTTATATTAAGCACTCAATATCTGTTCAACATCCCAGTGGTTGAAGAATCATATTTTTGACAATAGAGCCTATATTCTCTGTTATCCAATTATTTTTTTTTTCTCCCGTTGTCCGTTTAAGCAAAGCAAGTATGAAACTGAAGATGTGCTGTAATATTTGGTGCTAAATTTCATTGCTTTCCCTTCTATTGGTGACTGAATTACATTGCTTTGGAAAACAGTAACTTGTTTTGCCACTTCTAAATACCAAAGGGTGAACTGCACGCAATGCTCGAAAGTTTTCTGGATGCTAATTAAACAAAAGACCTGATCGCAGAAGATTCTTCCTTTTCTAAATCGGTTTCAAATTTATGATTTTCTATTTCCAATTTTGTGAAAGGACTTGGACAGAATACTTACTGTAATTAGCTTTTCAAGTCTCATGAACCTAAAAATGAATTTATCTTCTTAAAGTTACTTCAGTAGCGATCTTGGTGCTACCCTAGTCATAGCTGGAATTCATACAAACAGTAGACCAAGAATCTATGGAATTCAGTCATATTTTTTAAAGTTCATATTTATAGTTCTTCAGAATGTTGTTATTCTCAGAGTACTGCATAGTGAACTTCGCTTCTCTATCTTTTGTGGATCCTTGCTCATTTTAATAATATCTTCCGTGTTAAAAAAATATTCTTTCTTTATTTAATTTTAAATAGTTCAATCAGTAACCAGCTTACAGTAAACCCCAAAGCCTAAAACCAAAAGGCTAAATTTAACCGTGAGTATCCTTGAATCATAAAACATACAACCCAAGCCCCTAAACCTTAAACCATTAAAACATTAAAACTTTAAACTATCCTACAGAACTAAATTCTTTTACTATGATGATGGAAGGTTGAGGTTATATTTGCAGGCTGTGATGTTGTATTTAAAGATACCTTGTCAGGAAAGAGCTTTTTTGGTGAGTGATAAATCAAAAAGTGTTATTGGAACCTCCAAGATTTGAGAAAAGAGCAATATAATTTTATTGATCGGAGGATGGATATTTAAATCCAATTACAATAGACAATAATGAAATGCAATAAAAACTGAATAAAACAATTAGGAAAGAAAATAAAACAGAATAGAGCAAAAGAAAATAAAACATATTCAGAGAATTAATTCAAATAATAAGTATAATGACGTAGAGATAGTCGTTATATTCTTGTACTCCCCTTCAAGTTGAAGCATAAATGTGAGCCATGTTCAACTTGGATTTAAAATCATCGAACAAAGAGTGAGGTAGATTCTTGATAAGGATGTCCGCTAGCTGACTACTGGAGGGCACATATGAAATGCAAATCTCTCCGGACTTAATCTTTTCCTTAATAAAATGTCTATAGATTTCCACATGTTTGGCACGATCATGTTGGATTGGGTTGTGAGAAATGCTGATTGCGACTTTATTATCCCAGAATAGCTGTAACGGGACAAAAGTTGGCATTTCTAGTATGCGGAGCTTGACACATAGCCAGAGAGCTTCACAAATTACTATGGACATGGATCAGAAATCAGCTTCAACACTGTTTCGGGCAACCACAAACAGTTTCTTGCTTTTCCACGTGACAATACAAATGAGTAATACCCTAGGTGGAACGTTGATCATGAACTGATCCGACTCAGTTAACATCTGTATAAACAACAATAGACCGAGATGTGTGGTGAGGAAAAAAAAAACTGAGCCCGGTGTACCTTATAAGTAGTGGATAATCTGGTGGAAAACTTGGTGGTGGTGCTCGTAGGAGTCGTACATGAATTTACTCACTATTCCTGCTACGTGGCATCTGTCAGGGTGAGTATGTGTTAGGTAGATGAGTTTTCCTACAAGACGCTGGTAATGAGCTTTGTTGACAGGTACAAGCATTGAGAATGTTTAGATAATTTTTCATTAGGATCTATAGAAACAACAACAGATTTACATAGCAGAAGAATATTTTTTGATAAGAGATCAATCACATATTTGCACTGATAGACATTTTTCGAGAAAACTGAGCTACTTTCATGCCTAAGAAGTATCGAAGGGATCCCAAATCATTCATCTTGAAGGATGAAACAAGAATGTCTTTTAAGGCCTCCAATGTTGGGAGATCGTTACATGTAAGAATAATATTGTCAACATAGATAATAAGAATAGTTACCTGACAATTAGAGGAGTGCTGGAAGAAGAGGGTGTGATCCGATTGAGCATGAGTAAAACTATGGCCAACGACCACTTTTGTGAATTTGCCAAACCAGGCCATTGGAGACTGCGTTCTATAAAGGGACTTTCGTAGTCTGCACACTTGTCCTCTAGAACCAGAGAATCAAAACTCCAGGGGAGAGATATGTTCACCTCTTCTTTTAGCTCTCAATTTAAAAATGTATTCTTGACATTTAGTTGGAATAAAAGTCAATCCATATTCACCGCAAGTTAAAACTGGACCCGAATTGTGTTTAACGTAGTCACTAGAGCAAATGTTTCCTAATAGTCAACTCCGTAGGTCTGTGAGTACCCATAAACAACCAATCTTGCCTTGTTGCGTTCCAAGGATCCATCAGAGGTGGACTTGGTGCTGAAAATACATTGACACCCCACAACTTTCTTACCCTGAGGAAGATCAACGATGTCTCATGTATGGTTCCGTTGAGGGGCATTCATTTTCTCTATTACTGTCGTTTTCTAAGTTGGATCAACAAGAGCAACTTTAATAGTAGTTGGGATCTGATGATCCATCAGAGTAATAGCAAATGTTCTATAGGTTGGCGATAAACTGGTGAAAGAGACGTAGTTTGCCATAGAATAAAGGGAGCAAGCTTGCTTGCATACCTTACTTGGAGAAATCACCTCAATCGAAGAGGGGCTATGCTGAGGATGTCGCCTGAAGTGGAGTCAGGGTTCTGTAAGGAGGTAATGCCTTTCCAAATTAGAAGCATTGGAATAGGTGCGTCGAGTGTAGATACAAGTGTGGGAGGAGATGGTGTGCTTACTCAATTAGGGGACTCACCAGATGGTACACTCACCGGAACAAGAACTGTGGGGGGACATCCATAGGAGTAGGATAAGGGACACAATGTTTAAGAACCCAAGCTCTCCCTCACTTGGAGCTGAGGTAGGAAAATAGGGAATACTTTTAAAGGAGACATCAACACTCATTTAGATTTTGTTAGTGGTAGGATCAAGGCAGAGATACTTCTTTTGAGCGGCGGAGTACCTAAGGAAGATAAACTTTGTGGATCCGGGATCAAGTTTACTCTGATTAGGAGCAGTGTTTCAAACAAAAGCAGTGCACCCAAAAATCTTGGGTACTAAGGTGGACAAGACCCGATTGGCAGAGAAGCATGACATCAAGACAGCTAGCGAGGTTCAGAATTTGTGAGTTTTGGAATTGACTCTATTTATGAGATAGATGACAGTGAGAATGACATCCTTTTAAAGTCGTTTCGGGACATTAAATTTAAAAATAATAGAGCGAGCAACGCTGAGGAGGTGACGGTTTTTTCTCTCCCATTGTCAGTCCAGAGCCTGAATAGGAGTTTTGAGTTAAAATGAAGGTTTAGAAGTTCTGGAAGGTGACAACCTCTGATTTGTTTTTTAAAGTATAGACCCACGTCATTCGAGTGTGACTATCAATCAAAGTCAGGAACTAACGTTAATTGGTGCAGCTGAGAGTGCAAACGGGTTCTCATAGGTCATTGTGAATGAGAGAGAAATGAGCGGAAGGTGTGCAAGTGTGGGGAGGGTAATGAACCTGATGATATTTGACTAACTGACATGTTTCACAATTGCAATTAAAAAGATTTTTATTAGAAAATATCAAAGAATATAAGTTTTTTAAATATTGGAAACTAGGATAGGATATTGGACTATAGGTACTCTTACTAGTAAATTAATGAAATTAGTTGATATTATGATTCATAGAAAGATAAATATCTTATATGCTTAAGAAACTAAATGAGTTGGAGAAAAGGATAATGAGATTGATAACTTAGGTTTTAAAAACTTTGGTATTCATGTAAAAGTCAGACTCGAAATGGGGTAGGTGTAATTATAGATAAGATTGAAAGATAATGTTGTAAAAAATCAATAGAGTTGGAGGTAAAATTATGGTCTTTAAGATTTTTGTTGATACGATGATTTTTAATATTATAAGTGTATATGCTTTTGAAGTTGGTTTAGATATAGGTTCTAAGATAAATTCTGGAATGACTTAGAATACTTAATACAAATGATACATGATACCTCTTGAAGAACGAAGAACAAATTTTTATTGGAGGAGATTTAAATTGACATGTCGGTAGAGTGGTGGATGATTTTAGAAATTTTCATGGTGGCTACAGTTTTGGAGTTATTAATGAAGAAGCTACAACCATATTAGATTTTTCTTTACCATATGATTTTGTTGTTGCTAATACTTTCATGAAAAGAGATGAACTTATTATTACTTACAAAAATGGATCTAATAAAACACAAACTGATTATTTTCTTATGAGAAGAAGAAATCGTCGAGAATGTAATGTTTTTTAAGTCGTTCTATGTAAGGATTTAAGTATTCAACTTTGATTATTAGTTCTAAATTTTTAGATGAATTGTTGTAAAATAATGAATACTAGGAATCATCGTTATAAAACTAGACGGGGGTACCTTAAAAACACGAATAAATTTATTTTTAGGAGTAAAATTCAAGATTTCAAAATTTGAGAGTCTAAAGGCCTTCATTTGTATAGAATTAAAATTGAATACGTGGAATGTAATTTTAGTGGCAGTAGCTTTAGTGACAAAAATGCAACTATGACATATATACTTCACCTCTGGTACAAAGAAAGTGTGAACGCTTTAGATATCTCAGTTCTATTGTTCCAAAATATGGTGATGTAGATAGAGATGTTATTAGTAGAATTTAAGTTGATTCAAGTTGGTTCGGTTCGTTGAAGTGGAGGAATGCTTCTGGTCTATTGTGTGATAGAAAAGTACCGCTTAGACTGAAATGAAAATTTTATAATATGGTGGTGAGACTTGCAATGCTATATAGGGCTGAATGTTGGCCTTAAAAAGAAAAAGCATAAAAATAAGTTAAGTGTTGCCGAGCTGAGAATGATTAGTTGGATGAGTGGCTTTTAGACAGACAAAATGCGAAATGAATATATTTGTGATAGGGTTGGTGTAGCTCAAGTGACGGTCAATATTAGAGAGAGTCATCTTAGATGGTTTGGTCACATTAAACGTTGACCATCTGATGATCCGATTAGAAGAGATGTTTTAGATTCGACTTATGTTAAGAAAGACAGAGGTAGACCTAGAATGGCTTGGGCATATTGTATAAAAAATGATCTTAATTTATTAGAATTAAATGAAAATGACACTAAATAGGACGCAATGGGGAAAAAGGATTCATGTAGCCTACCCCACTTAGTGGGATAAATTTTTTGTTGTTGTTGGAAAATAGAATGACCTAAACTGTAATGCGACAACACAATGAGACATTCAATGACTCGAGATAAGCTACAAATTCTGAGCGATGTGTCTTCGCTCTCCATGCTCTTCTCTTGAAAGTAGTACAGTCCGGCTATCCTCTTAACAACTCCCTTCTTGCTCCCTGAACGACGCTCCTGAAAAACAGAACCATCAATAGAGAAATTAACAAAGCAATCAAATATCATTTGTCAAATTATTGATAGATAGCAAGTTACATTGCAACTGGCGAATATGTAAAACACTCTCCAAAGTTAAATCGGTTGTTAATACAATTGACCCTTCACCAACAATGGAACTACAAGAGCCATTGACAATTCTGAAGGTATTCTTTCCAGAGCACGGATAGTAAGTCGAGAAAACTTGTTTAGTCATGTGATTTGTGACATCTAAATCAATAATCCATAGACTAGAGGCGGAATAAGCTGTGAAAGCCATAGGAAGAATTCTTTGTCGGATGTGGGGAGTCGACGGACCCGTAGAGACTTGATGGGCTCCAAGTAGCTTGATCAGTTGCTCTATTTGGTTTCATAGGGATTCAAATGATTCTAGAGGTAGGAGTTGGTTGAACCGTGGTAGATTTGGACGTTGCCGTGAGACTCTTGATAGTGGAGGATTTGGTTGAAGGTTTGTATGTTGGTTTACTTGTTCCGTGTGTGGTTGGGTTTGTGACAGTAAACACAAGTGGAGTGACTAGTCGAGGTGGCATGGACGAAGGCTAAGCACGATTCGAGATGATTCCGACTGAGCCAAAAGAAATATGGTTGGGTTTCAAGACATGATGGATTTGTAAGTCACCGGCTGATGGATAACTGGAAGAAAGCTGCAGGCAAGATGCAGGAAATTTTGGAGCCAGAAAACAGGAAATTTGGGAGCCGAACTGTAGAAAAACCGGGAAGCAGGAGCCAAACCCAGCAGGAAGGATCCATAGGGATGACCGGTGGGAAAGTTTGCAGAGAATGCCTACGGTAGTGCTTTCCTCGGAAGGGTTGTCCAGCGGCGGCTGCTGAAGGGATCTGCTTCTGAAGGGATCTGCGGCTGATGTGTATCAGCAGGGAACTACAGCGGAAGCCTTATTTGAGGAAAGCGTTGCATAGGTCTTAATTGATCTGGAGAACACAAACCAGGAGCTGAAGATTGATTTGAAGCATCTTTTCATAAATTCAGCTGTTCAAGTTGATGTTTCTGGAAACCGCTTGTAGATAGCAGAAACAGCGGCAATAGGTAAATAAACAGGAATAAAAGCGGCAAAAAAGAACAGCGGCAACTTGAACTGCAGCAAAAAGGAACAGCATGTTGAACAGCGGCTAGTTCTCAGCGGGAGAATATAAGTGGGAGAATATCAAGGGCCTGGCTGCTACATATGGGAGATAATTCTTACTGATCTGGCTGCTATATATATACCAAGGGTCTGGCTGGGAGAATTTCCACGGGGGAACACAATGGAAATTCTTACAGCAGGAAGAGCCGGCTGCAGGGGAAAAGACCGCAGAAAGAGCCGACGGCCATGGTTGAATTCATGGCTCTGATATCCTGTCAGATTTGAGAAAAGAGCAGCATAATTTTATTGATAGTAGGAGGGGTATTTAAACTCAATTACAATAGAAATAATAATGAAAAGCGATAAAAATAAAATAATTAGGAAAGAAAATAAAACAGAATAACACAAAAGAGGAAATTTGTGTTTTATTAGTTATGAGTTCCTTGGTTATGTCATTATTGCTTAATCAGGGAATAAAATTAAATAATAAGTGATAATGACGTAGACATAATTGACATATTAATAGAACCCATAACTATGTCCAAACAATTAATCATTGGGCCACCGATCCTTCCACTTACTTGGCTGGAGTAGACCTTCATTTTGTCGATACATAGTTATTTTTATCATCATTCTCAAACCATTCAATGTGGATATAAATCTAAACCATATAGTAAAAAATAATAAAATTTGTGAAGATCACGTGTTAAAACTTTGCTATGGCTTTTTTCGGTTGTTTTATTTTATTATATTTTTGAACTGGAATCAACTATATGTCGCTTGTAGATTGGTTGTCCATACACAGTTGGTCTTCATTATAGCATACTGGCTATTGTTGATCCACCACAGTTTTATCCCTAACAACTGACTTTAATACAAATTATTTTTAATTAACTGATCCCATGTGCATACTGTACTTTGCTGTAAACTTTGGTAATACTCGAGTTTCATAGCCTCCGCCTAGGGAATTGCTTTGAATGCAAGCTGCTGAATTCTCTAGCAATCCAGATTTAATATTTAGAAGCAATATTTGCTTAAGGTATCTTACCTTTTAGTTCTATCTGTAACAGTTTTATTGGTTAGTTTTTATAAGCTGTTTAATTGAACTTGTTTCTGTAGTTTGAGCTTGTTGACTTCATCGTAATATTAAATGGTAAATATTCATGCCTCCTACTTTTGGTGAAGATTTTTGGTACATTACATACATACCACCCAATTCTTATATATTTACATATCTAATACTCAAACTTTACTTTTTACATTTATATCACTCAAATCTAGGGGTGTAAACGAACCGAACACGAACGAACAAAGCTTATGTTCGTGTTCGGTTCGTTTAAAATTTAGTTTGTTTGAAATAAGCTCGTGTTCGTTTCTTAACGAACGAGCCGAACACGAACCGAACACAAGCTGTTCGCGAACGACGAGCTAGTTTGTCATCTCTAATATTAATATATAAAAATAATATTATATATTAATTATATAACTTATATTATATAAATATTCAATATCTATATTAGTATATTACTGCTATAGTATATTAATATATTATTATTATTATTTTATTATATATTATAATTTATAAAATTTAATGTTTTAAAATATAATAAATTTTTTATATATAATTATTTTATATTATTTTATATTTCAAACAATAACGATTCGAACACGAACGAACGCATCACTGTTCGTGCTTGATTCGTTTAACTAACCGAACAAAAAAAATTTGTTCGTGTTTGTCTCGTTTACTTATCGAACGAATCGAACACGAACTCATTGACGAACCGAACACGAACTGTTCGCGAACAACGAGCTTTTTTGACAGCCCTACTCAAATCTTTCATATCACATAAAAAATGAGACTATTTACCTTTCAGAAAGTGAAATGCACCTTTTTATTCATAGGTAAGGTGGCATGTATGTAAAAACTAAAGTTAAGGTGTTAGATATGTAAATACATAGGAATTATGTGATACGTTTGTAAATTTTCCAAAATTTTAGGTTTGTATCCATAAATGATTCAACAACTTGTTTCCATCATCTTGGATGTGCAGCAAATTGTTTGATCGAGTCATTACGGTAGAGTATGCTGTTCGTGATGATGACGATAATAATGATGATGGTAGAAGAAATGGCTACAGCCCTAGCCGGAAAGGCAGGGAGTATTCTTCCCCTGAGAGAAGAGGTCGTGGTCGATCTGCAAGTCCATATGGGAGAGGCTTGGAAAGGGGTAGTCCTGATTATGGCCACGGTCCTAGTCCATATAAGCATCCTGATCCAAGAAGTCCAAAAGTTGATAGAGCTGGAAGTCCTGTTTATGAAAGATATCGCAGGTCAGCTTTGTTAGCAATTTTTGTGTCTTTTATTTATCTCTTCTTTTGCCTGATCCGTCTTTGGGGCATCTTTGGATTGCAGCCGATCACGAGGAAGTGAGGAATGATAATTGTGTTCTGGGTATTTCCAGCAAAAGGGGAAGATATTTTTGATTCTGATGAATTGCTTTCTGCAGTGGAGTAGAAGTCTTTGTGCCATTTTGTTTGGATGAATTTCTTTTTTTAGCTTTTTTTTTTAATTTTGTTTGTATTGGATAGTCTGTTGGTTGTTTTTATTATTGTTTTCTTACTGACCATTTAGGAACTCTTCCAATTTGTGGCCATAATTGCCAAGACAAGGGAATGGCGATGGAGCAAATATTTTGATGTGCCAATGCCGATGGAGCAAATATTTTGATGTGCCTTTCAGATTTATTTAAGTTTTGTCGGTCTGTTGGGTTTTCCTTGTGCCGTCTAATCTGTTAATTTTAACATAATTCTATTTCATCTGGTACTTTTTGCGAATGCCTTTTTTGTATGGGAAAAAAACTTTTCTTTGGATGACATGTCCATGCTGGATTATTTTGAACTAGAAGAGTTTGAAGGTGGTTCATATAATATCCTTCCCTAGATGATCATGGAAGATGCTGTTGACAAATGATTATCTGAGAGACCTTCATTTAGAAATGGTGAAGATCAGAATTGAGTCAACATTATAGCTATTTTAATTTGTGAAATCTTTTAATATGAAACGCCTAATATCTTGATGATGTTGACTAATTAAGCATTATAATGATCAATGATTTTTTGATTGCATCTAATATGTTATACGTCTTTGAAATACATCGAAATTTGGAAGAGATGAAGAAGGGTAAAAGTCTGGGTGCCAGCACAAAGAAGTGCATTGAATTTCTCCAGCATTGCAACCTAACTTTTAGGATGTTTTAGCGCCAGTGACTGCGAGGTGGGTGGGGTGAAAGAAAGATTGAAGATTTGTTGTTATTATAATTAATTTGGTTAGTACTTTGCATGTATTTTTGCATGCTTTTCATTAGGTGGGTGTTTTTTCTGTTATGGTGAGTGGCGAAGGCGAGTTTTGGAAGTTCTAAGAGACGTGTGATTTGGTTTATGGTAGATGTATTCACATAAATTGTACGAGTATTGAAGCCATTGATTTACAAGGTGAGTTTAGTACAGCTAGTTCATTGCCTATGATTTGATGCATTGCATGTACTCAATGAAGCCATTGTTGCCTTTTGTGAGAAGGTGAAAGTCTCTATTTCAATTGTGTGAGACACCATCAAGATCGTTTAGCGTCTGTTTGCCTAGCTTCCTGCCATGTATGAGAAGAAGCTATAAATTAACTAAGGTTTCGAGATGAAGTAGATGATGAGATTGATGATAAGTTGGTATTGTTAAAATCAGAGAATAAAGGATTTGAGATGTTATCACCGTTAATAGAAAAGCTACAGATAGACATAGGTTGGATTCATTTATAAATCCCATGAGATATCATATTGAAATGATATGGAAATAAATAAAGGAAAAAAAGTTGGAGCTGATACATTTGATTTGTGTTTTTATTAATGAAGATGGGAGCTAGTGTTTTATTGAGTGGGTTTGATGGTGTGAGTATTTTCATTGAGAGAGATGGTTAAAAAAAAATCAAATTTTTAGGCTCTGAAATTATGATATCAAAACTAACTAATTTTGAGTTGAGAGTATTAATCTTTTTCATTGATTTACATATGTACAAGTGACGATGAAGCAATATTTATAATTATAGAGTGAACAAAATACATGATGGTGACATAGACACCTTTCATTCGTGATTATCTACTATAGAATATTGGTTAACTAAATATAGCTATTGACTTCTTTTAATTGTGTGAGATTTGGTGCATTCGATTAGTTTTTCCATTGAACTTTAATTGGAGACTGATGCCTTAGATGGGTGAGACTTAGCTATTTAAGAGTATCATAAATTTTTCTAGAGTGGTGAGTTCTTTGACTTTGTTTAAATAATCAGGAGCCACTTAGGTTAAACATTTTGGATTCATATAACATCATTCCAAAATAAATTTGTTTGGGATGTCAAACTAAACAAACACAAAATGCAGTGAATATAAAGAATGAACTAAATCATTTATATTTTATTTAAATTTCTTCATTCACTTGTCATGTTAACCAAATCACATAAGTTTGTTCGATAAATGTGGTCGTTAAGTAATAAAACTATATATATATATATATAAATCATTTATATTTTATTTAAATTTCTTCATGCACTTATCATGTTAACCAAATCACATAAGTGAATGAAGAAATTTAAATAAAATATAAATGAATATATATATATATATATATATATATAAGTTTTTCAATTTAATGAAGTTTTGCACTTAAGTAGAATAGGCTCTAACCATTCCCCTCTCAACATCAGTATAGAGGAGCTTTGTAAGCCTAACAATAATCTTTTAGATTTATCCGCGTTTGGAGTGAGCATCAATCCTTTTTAGATATGGTTAAGTTGAATTGGGTGGATGATAATGAATATTGTCCTTGGCATAGACTTTGAAGACTACATAAAAATATGACTGAAGCTCTCAAAACTTGGAATTGGAATACCTTTAGGAACATTTATCAAAGCGTTACAAAGGTAGAAGAAGAGTTTCCCAGATTGGAAAAAGTTTTTGCTAATGATGAAATTTAGGAGGTTGAGGTTATTCAAGCCTAAGAAAAACTTAATGATGCATTTGCCAACAAGAAATTGATTTTCTGAAGCAGAATCAAATTACCTTAGCAATGTGGAGAGTGACAGAAATTCTAGTTTTTTCCATGCATGTATCGAGCACAGAAGTCAGACCAACTCTATGCTGAAATGTAAAGACAAAGAGGGAAGATCGCTTTACTCACAACAATAGATAATTAACAGTGCGATGGATTTTTTTCCAAAACCTTTTATTAAAAAACTATGGTTTCTAAGGAGGAACTAGTGTTGATGCAATTTCAAAATACCTAAAAATATTGATATTTAAGGATTTTGTGCAGTCAACTTTGGAGGAAATATGGGCCGCCCCTTCAACAATTGATAAGAACGAAGTAGTTGCCCCAGATGGCTATACCTAATGTATCTATATTAAGTCATAGGACGTTATTAGTAAAGATGTGATGTTACTTGTTAAGAAATATTTTTTTGGTGGGTTGCCACATATATATTTTAGAAGCTCAACTTTGATTCTGACACCCAAGAAGAATTTCAACTACAGATGGGAAGATTTTAGACCTTTGTGCCTCACCAGTATCATATCCAAAATAATTAGCAGGCTTATTTTCAAAAGATTGCAACCTTTATTAAAGACTGTTGTTTTCCCACAATAAGCTTCCTTCATATTTGGTAGACACATATTTGATGATATTTAATTGCTCAGAAATTGCTCAATGGCTTGGATAGCAAATGCAGAGGTGGAAATGGGTTTTTAAAACTGAATTTTAAGGAAGGCATATAATTCTATCCAATGAAGCTTCATTATTAAAGTGTTCTTGGCTAAAAGTCTTAAGTTTGATTTTTTTTAACTCACCATGAAGTTTATAGACCAAAACCATTATTATATGACGCTAAATGGTATGCAACATTGTTTTTCTTAAGGCTGAGAGAGGTTTGAAGTAAGGAGACCCCTTATAACCTACACTTTTTATTTTAGCTGTTGATTACTTATTTTGCATTTTAAGTAAGAGCTTTTATCATCATGTTGATGGAAGGAATAAATCTAGTGCTGACATCCTAACTGGCATATGAAGATGATTTCCTTATTTTTAACAATATGAGAAAAATGAATATTAATAAAATCTATAAAATACTGAGTGATTTTGAATATGTATTAGGTATGGAGTTCAATAAGGCTAAGTGTGATGGGTATGTGGGGATGCATATGAAAGGGCAGCACAAATAGTGGTTGTAGCAGTATATTGATATCAAAATTAATATTCTCCCTATGAAATATGTAGGCTTACAATTGCATTACACTAGGAAAAGAAGTCAACGCTTCAATTCAATTTTTAACAATATCAATAAGAGAATTAGTAGTTGGGAAAAATATTTGTTATCCTTTGGTGGTAGAATTACATTATTACAAAGTGTGCACAACCCTCTCCCTCTTTATGTGCTTGAAGTCTCTAAAATGACTAAAGGAATGCAAGGAAAAATTGAAAGAACATTCAACATATTTCTGTGGACTGGCAATGGTAAAGGTATGCATTGGACTAATTGGAAAAAATTTTGTAGACCTAAGAATAAGGGTGGTCTTGGCTTCAGTACACTTAAAACAGTCCATGGACATCAATTTTCATAAATTTTGGTTCAAATCGAGGGCTAAAAAAGATCTCTGGGCTCCATTTATGTATAAGAGATACATGTTTAACTCTACCCACTTTTCTTTCACACAAAATTAGTTGTCTCCATGATTTGGAAATAATCACTCAAAATTAGAAGTACTACTCAAAACTTTCTTGTTTTGGACATTGGTGAAGGAAAGATCAACTTGTGGTATTATGATTGGACTTTATTGGGTCCACATGCTAAGGAAGAGATAGACAAGGAGCAAAAAGTTGTTGATCTCTGGCAGAATGGCTCTTGGAACTTGTAGGAACCCAGATCCCAACTGAGAAGAGATGCAATCAACCATCTGAATGGCATTAGATTTGATTCTACTTGAAGTGATTGCTATAAAATTAAGGAATTGGGGAATCGTTCACTGGCTAAAAATATTTCAAACAAGCTGCATCTTTTTCAAGACACTCACAATGGGAAGAAACTCTGGAACTCTATATTAAAGCCATCCCAATCTTTCTTTATATGAAGGTTGCTGCATAAATTGTTGCTCATTGATAATATTCTGAAACTAAAAGGCATTAGAGGTCCTTCCATTTGTCTGTTATGTAAAAAAAGCTGAAGAATTCATGTATCACATTTTCTCATCCTGTACCTTCACTGATATCACTTTGGAAAGATTTACTAAGGTTTTAAATGCTCATTTACCTGTTGTTGGATTTAGGTCTTCAGAACATCTGTTTTCTTTTTAGCAGTCAAATTTCTCTTATAAACAATTGCTATATTATGTGCCCTATATTTGTTGATGGTTTGCTAGGATGGCAAGGAAAATTATGAAGCATCAGGAGGAATATCAGAAAAGAGATGGGGTTATTATTAATATTAAACCTTATATATCTAAGGTCACCAAGTATAACAAATCTTATAAGGTGCTGGCTGAGATGGGTAAACAACTGCAAGCAAATGTCAATAAGGAAATAAAAAAGTAAAGTGTTGTTTTGATTTA